AGTTGATTCTGAAAACAGGTCGGTGAAATTGCTGCCAGACTGCAGAACCCTGATAGTCGGAGGTGAGGCGAGTCAGCTGATCATCTGGGACTTGGCTAGTCCCACGCCGCGAATCAAAACGGAACTGACGTCAGCGGCGCCGGCCTGTTACGCGCTGGCCATCTCGCCGGATTCGAAGGTCTGCTTCAGCTGCTGCAGCGATGGTAACATCGCCGTGTGGGATCTGCAGAACGAGACGTTGATTCGACAGTTCCAAGGCCACACGGATGGTGCCTCCTGCATCGATATCTCGGCGGACGGCTCGAAGCTGTGGACCGGAGGATTGGACAACACAGTGCGTTCGTGGGATCTTAGGGAGGGCAGACAGTTGAAGCAACACGACTTCACATCGCAGATATTCTCGTTGGGCTACTGCCCGACCGGAGAGTGGCTTGCAGTTGGTATGGAAAATTCGAACGTCGAGGTGCTTCACGCCTCCAAGTCCGACAAGTATCAGCTGCATCTTCACGAGTCGTGCGTGTTGTCGCTGCGATTTGCCTCGTGCGGCAAATGGTTCGTCTCCACCGGCAAGGACAATCTGTTGAATGCATGGCGCACTCCGTATGGCGCTTCGATATTTCAGGTCTGTATATATATATATATATATCTTTATTTACCGTTACGAGCTTTTGCTGCAGACCTGTTGAGAATTTACGGAATCGTTGAAACTCATCGATCAGTAAACGCACAAAACACTCAGCTTCTAAATGGCTCGTACATCAGTCAGTTTCTTATTTTTTTTCTTTTTTAAGAAAATTGAGAATAAACTTGAGGAATAAAGTTGAACTTTATCGGCGTGTACGTCTCACACTACGGTGAAAAAGAAAAAAAGCAGAATGGGGAAACTCTCTAACAATATCTTGTTTCGTTGCTCTGCCTTGTTGAATTGGCCAGGTATTGAATGAAGTGCAATAAGTGCAAGCTTAAAGTGACGCACAACTTGAGATGTACACCTGAACATGGATATAAGAATGACGTCAGTCACAATTTAACTTTAAACAAGGCAAACTACTAGCTAGAAGTTTCAAAAACGCTCGCCACATTTATTTGAAAATCTATGCGAAGATGCTCCATTGAAAAATGAAGAGTACATGCAAATACCCGTTTGCACGGAGAAATTTCGAAATCGCTTGTTCTCAACAAGTAGAAACTTTGTAGAATCGCGCGATTTGACAAAAGGGGCACGTCTGTGACAATTCACGTCTACGAAGTAGAACTTCCACGCCCATGAAAGACGAGCTTATTTCCTGCATGTATCGTTAGACGTAACACGTTGTGCAGCATCGTGCAAAAAAGCAGATCTCCAAGCGGACCACATGGGAATCCATATCAATTCTTTTTGCAGTCGAAGGAGTCCTCGTCGGTGTTGAGCTGCGACATCTCTGCCGACGACAAGTACATCGTGACCGGATCCGGTGACAAAAAGGCCACTGTTTACGAAGTGATTTACTAGACGCGTACGGTAAAGACATTTCACGTTTTCCTCCCTTGGTCGAAACCTGAACTCTTTAACATGCTCTCCTCCTCGCGGGAGAGATCCTACAAGTGAGACTTTTTAGCAGCCTTAGGAACCTAGACTGTTACTATACTGTGTATATATACATAATGAGTCTGTATTAACGGTAGGGATTCGCGTTCGAAAGCAACAAAAGCACGAACAGACAAAAGAGAAAGAAAGAGTGAACCTGTGTGTGTGTGTGTGTGTGTGTGTGTGTGTGTAGGAGAGAGTGAGAGAAAAGTAAAGAAAGAAAAAAAAAAGAAAAAAAGAAAAAAAAGACTAAACTAACGCTAATCATGACGGCGATCGAGAAACCAATGTGCGTGCCAGGGCAAAAGCTGTATATGTATATTTAGGAGTTGCGTGTACGTGGCCCAACTGTACCTACGATCGTGTGATTTAAACTGGTAGAGGAAACTTTCTTTGTCGCGTGTATACAACGAGAACGTGTTAATGGAACGTTACCAAGCGATTTTGCATGTGCGTTAAGTGACCAGGAGAGAGAGAGAGAGAGA